TTTATTTTTGTTATCACTTTGGCCATTTGACTTATAGCAGTGTCCAGTGTTTCCCATACATTGAGTTATTTGTGGCGGCCCGTCGCAAAATCAAAACTGACCGCCACAAATAGATTTTCCAAAAGGATTCTACTTCATTGAATAAACGGAGCACTGCACGTTTCAAAATTAAAATGCAGCGCAGGTGTTTTTATATGAATGTATCTGTGAAAAGAACTGACTGTCTTCAGAAAAGCTTCTATGTCATTTTCATTTCGTCTTTCCTGTAATGCCTGATAAAGTAATGCTTATTTGTTTACAGCCGTTACCGGAGAAACCGCTATATCTCCCGCTCCAACAGTGCCTCCTGCTGGCAGAGAATGAATTTGCATTTGCAAGTCTGTGGGAAACACTGGTGTCTGTCAGCAAACATAAACAAAAAGCATGCTTCAGAACTGTTTTGAGAAGGTGCTTAAGTTTTGAACCATGTATTATTACTCTGAATTAGGCTACTACTACTATTACTATCTTGTATCCTGCAATAATCATTTGCTCAAACTCACTTTTATGAGATAAAGGGGAAGAAGAAAAAAAAGAAAATCAGCCAAACATATCGGTCAAAAAAAATCGGCATCATATATCATAATTTACTCAAACTCACTTTTATGAGATGAAGAAAAAAAAAAAAGAAAATCGGCCAAAATATCGGCATCATATATCGGCCATCGGTTGCCCTGATTTCTAAATATCGGCATCGGCCAGTGAAAAACCCATATCGGTCGACCTCTATGTATGTCACTTAAACAACGTTTAATGATGATCTCTCCTTTGTCCTCCTCCTCCCCCTCCTTCATCAACTGTAACAGCTGACGAATTTGCCACATTCTTCATTAATACAATTAAAACCATCAGTGCACAATTTTCCACACCACAATCTGTCAAGCACATCATACCAGCAAACATACACTCGTTCACATCCTTCTCTCCCCTCTCTGAGGCAGAAGTCTCTAAACTCATCCTTTCTAATCATCCTACTACTTGTCCGCTTGATCCTATTCTGCTTGATATCTCCTTCAAGCCATTTCTCCTGCCGTTGTACCTGCACTCACTCACATCGCTAACACATCCCTTCACACTGGTGTTTTTCCCTCAACATTTAAACAGGCTCGTATAACCCCACTTCTTAAGAAACCCACCCTTAACCCAACTCTTTTAGAGAACTACAGACCGGTTTCTCTTCTACCTTTCATTGCAAAAACACTTGAACGAGTTGTTCAACCAAGTCTCGAACAACCTCCTCAACAGCAACCAGTCTGGCTTCAGAAGTGGACATTCAACCGAGACTGCCTTGCTCTCAGTTGCTGAAGCCCTAAGACTGGCAAGAGCGGCTTCCAAATCTTCAACAGGCATGAGCCGATTACCGGTTTCAAGGTATATCGCGATTTGAAAAATCTCACGGTTTCAAAACCACTAATATTTTCCGTTATACCGTTCCTGCTGGTGCGAGCGAGCGGTCAGTCACGTGTGTGTAGGACGGCCGAACTTAAGGAGCTTCCCCTGGAACTCACGCGATCAGCAACCGGCCGTTTTTTGTTTTATTGCAAGCAACTCGTCTCTGTTCTGGACTTGCACAAACTACGTTGCAATGCAATCGTTTTCCAAAATGTAATTTATGTGAAAATATGAAGTCTGTAAACCAGAGTCGTTGAAGACGGACACACAGAGAAAAATACTGTAGCAGGCAGATCACTCACTGTTCATGATGAACGAACTATTGGAAGAAAATCCTCAATATTGATTTGGGAGTTTATATGAATGTTTCTGAGGGGAACTGACTGTCTTCAGAGAAAGTTTAGATGGTGCTCCTTGTTACAAGTATGGTAGAACCATCACTTCTACCACAAAAGACTGCTTTGTAAGTAATCTTCTTGATTTATCCCAATTCCTTAGCATATCCAAAACCTCAGAAAAACTTGATGATGTAACAGAAACTATGGACTCTCTCTTTTCTAGCATTTTAAATACAGTTGCTCCTTTACCCTTAAG